TATATATATATATCCATGAGTTTCACACCTTGATACCTTGAGGAGGCTCTTTTAATACAGGCTAGAGATAGTAACTGGCTCTCAAAGGGGTAGATTAGAAAATGGCATGGCAGGAGGGATGGATTCCAGAACTCTAGGAGTCAGAACTCACAGCTGACACCTACTTCAGAACTAGGAGGGACATTATTTTACAAATAAAAAGGGAGGTACAATGTCACACTCACCCAGTTCATCCAGAAAACAAGGACGGGGTGAGTGTGATCAAGAGCCCACCAAGACTTCTAATCACAGCTCTGCACCAGCTCCATGCCAGACCCTCTCTCTCAGGGGATGCCCAACCCCTAGTCCAAGGTGAGCTCCCTGGTGCTTGCCAGTTCTTAGCTCAGCAGTGCCCAGACTCGGGTTGGTCCTCAGCAAGACCTGAGACTTGGAAAAGGAACCCATTTCCTGAGCACCTTACTGTGTGTGTTGGGGGGGGACTGTCTGAGACTTTTACAGGTAGAACTGTACGGCAGTCAGACTTGTGTTTGAATTCTGGTTCTGCCACTTACTAGCCATGTGACTTGGGTAATTTATACTTCCCAGAGCTTCAGTCTCCTCATCTGTAAAACACGGATAACAATACCTATTTCATAGCGCCTGGCCCTTGATGAACAGCAGTCATCATTATCACTAATCTTCGTAACTACCCTGTGAGGAAGGAATTCTAGCGCCACTGGATAGATCTGAAAATCAAGGCTCAGGGAGGTGAGGCACTTGGCAGACCTCAGTGGGTGAATTTCAGCTTCAGGAAAGCAGGGACCATGACTGTCCTGGTCACCATTATACTCCCAGGTCCCGGGAAAATGCCTGGTGCATAATAGGAATTTAATAAATATTTGTGAATGAATGAACTGGATGGAACCTGGTCCCCCAACTCCTGATTCATGCTCTTTGTCCTTCGCTGCGCTGCCTTCAGAAGAAGGGGCCGAACTTCCCCCAGCCTAGGATTCGGCATGTTCTCCCACCTTCTTCATCCTCCTCGCCCTTCCCCTGCCCAGGTCTATTCCTGGTAAGAGCAAATGACGGGAAGCATTTGACCAGGAGTCAGCAACTTCCTGTGTAACAGCAGGCAAATTGTTTGATCTTTCTGGAACATGGTTTCTCATCTACAAAATGGGTAAATTGACCTGCATCTTTCCCAAGACTGCTGCAAACATTAAGGGAAATGATTGGTATGAAAGAGCTATGTGGGCTGTTCAATATTACACATATGAGAGGCTAGTGATTTTGCTGTTATTAGCATCACCTCGCCTAGCTTTCTGTTTCCCATCCAGACAGTTGTTCATTTGGGTTATTCACCTGTGTTTCTGATGGAAAGGGGCTGAGGTTTCTCTTGACACCTAGAAAACTGGAAAGATGTCACTTACTATGTGTATTACTTGGGACAAGTTTCTTCACAAGCCAAGTGAGGATAAAGATTCCAAACATTCAAGGTAATATAAGGATTCAGGAGATAAAACAAAAATATATGAAATCACTAGGCACAGTGACTGGAACAAAGGAGATTCTTAATGAGATTTGACATATTGGTTGTTGACTCTCAGAAATAAAAATAACAGTTAACAGATACCAAGGAACTTCTACGTGCCAGGTGGTGTACAACAGCCCTGAAAGGTAGGTATTATAATCCTCATTTGTTTCAGAAGTTAGGACTTGCTCAAGGTCACATAATTAGGAAATGGCAGAGAGCTGGTGGGACTAGAAGTTGGGCCTGTCTGACCACAGACTGTGAGCTCCTACCAGTGTGCTCTACTCCCACAGATAGGCTGTCAGCTCAGCCCTGAAGCAGGCAGAATGATGTACCTAACTGGGACACAGTATGAGATTAGGAACAATTAATTTAATGAAGGAATGACACCCCCTACCCCTTCAAGCATATTCAAGCCTATAGCAGATGCTCAATACAGTATACACAAAATGTTTGCAAAGAGTTTATATTATCTTCAGTCAGTATACACTAAGGCTGCTCAAAAATATACGTTCATTTTTCTTTTGTTCACTCAACATTAATTTACTGCTTACCATGCCAAGTGCTAAGAATGTATAAAGCCACATTGTCCCTGCCTTAAGGAATT